CTCTCTCTCTCTCTCTCTCTCTCTCTCTCTCTCTCTCTCTCTCTCTCTCTCTCTCTCTCTCTCTCTCTCTCTCTCTCTCTCTCTCTCTCTCTCTCTCTCTCTCTCACTCTCTCTCTTTCTCTCTCTCTCACTCACTCACTCACTCTCTCTCTCTCTCTCTCTCTCTCTCTCTCTCTCTCTCTCTCCCTCCTCCTCTCTCTCTCTCTCTCTCTCTCTCTCTCTCTCTCTCTCTCTCTCCTCCCTCTCTCTCTCTCTCCTCTCTCTCTCTCTCTCTCTCTCTCTCTCTCTTCTCTCTCTTCTCTCTCTCTCTCTCTCTCTCTCTCTCTCTCTCTCTCCTCTCTCTCTCTCTCTCTCTCTCTCTCTCTCTCTCTCTCTCTCTCTCTCTCTCTCTCTCTCTCTCTCTCTCTCTCTCTCTCTCATTTTTCTCTTTCTTTCCTCTCTCTCTCTCTCTCTCTCTCTCTCTCCTCTCTCTCTCTCTCTCTCTCTCTCTCTCTCTCTCTCTCTCTCTCTCTCTCTCTCTCTCTCTCTCTCTCTCTCTCTCTCTCTCTCTCCCCATGGATGTACATATGTTTCTGTGTTTGTATCTATATATCAATTAATCACACTATCTATCTATTTGTCTATCTATCTATACTGCAAGGGCGGAGACGCTAACAAACATACACGCCCACACATACACACACACACACTCAGACACACACACACACACACACACACACACACACACACACACACACACACACACACACACACACACACACACACACACACACACACACACACACACATACACACACATATCTATATCTAAATCTATATCTACATCTGTATCTCTATCTCTATCTTTATTCATATCTATCTATATCCATCCTCATCATTCACTTCGGTAATATAACTAGCACATTATAGAAAATAACACCAAAAAAAAAAAAACATCCGAAAATGGTCTGTTTCCCCCAAGGATGCGAAACGAAAGCCCGCGCGGAAGAGACGAAAGTTTTCTTTGTATCTCCTTTTTGCTGTTCGCCAGGCTCAGGAGGCGCTACCGAGAACGAGGTCGCCGGAGGGACATTAGCGATTAGATAGCGATATGCAATGCGGCCATTCATGTCATTTCCAGAGACATGAGGTTTCGACATGAGGGAGGAGAGGAGTGAGGGGGGGGGGTGAACAGCTTGCGTGAGCCGTAGCTAACGCGCCAGGATTTTATATATTATTATTATTATTATTATTATTATTATTATCATTATCATCATTATTAGTATTATTGTTATTATTATTATTATTGGGGCGGGGGGGGGGCAAGGAGTAGGGAGGGAGGGAGGAGGGTAAAGGGGAGGGGAAGGGAGTCTAGAGGGGAGGGGGGGGGGGTAGAAAAGAAGGGAGAGGGAAGGTGAAGTGGAGGAGGGGAGAGTAAAGGGATGGTGGAGGGTAGCGGGCAGGAAAAGTAAATGCAAGTGGGCATGCGGTTATATTTCTGGTGTCTTTCTTTCGATCTCTGTTCATGTCTGTCTGTCTCTTGGTCTCTGTGTATGTATGTCTTTGTTTCTGTCTCTTTCTCTGTCTCTCTGTCTGTCTGTTTCTCTCTCTCTCTCTCTCTCTCTCTCTCTCTCTCTCTCTCTCTCTCTCTCTCTCTCTCTCTCTCTCTCTCTCTCTCTCTCTCTCTCTCTGTCTTTCTCTCTCTCTCTCTCCCTCCCTCCCTCCCTCCCTCCCTCCCTCCCTCTCTCTCTCTCTCTCTCTCTCTCTCTCTCTCTCTCTCTCTCTCTCTCTCTCTCTCTCTCTCTCTCCTCTCTCCCTCTCTCTCTCTCTCCCTCTCTCCCTCCCTCCCCCCCCCCCCCCCCTCTCTCTCTCTCTCTCTCTCTCTCTCTCTCTCTCTCTCTCTCTCTCTCTCTCTCTCTCTCTCTCTCTCTCTCTCTCTCTCTCTCTCTCTCCTACTCTCTTTCTTTGTCTTCCTCTTCCGTCTCTCAATCCGCCCCCCCCCCTCTTCCTTAGCACCAGCGTCTGCTCTCCTTCCTTCTCCTCCACCAGACAGACCTGTGTTGTAACCGCCCACCTGGTCGCCTGTCTGCCTGTCAGAGTGGCTGACGTAGGCCAGATACCTGCTGGGGCTCGAGACGATTCCTGGCAGAGGTACATGCGTTGGGGTGGGGGTGGGGAGGGGGGGTTGGGTGGATAGAGAGAGGGAGGGGTGAAGGGTAAAGTATGGGAGGGGGTGGGAGAGGGGAGAGTGCCGAGGGGGGTCGTTGGGAGGGGGGATGTGAGGGAGGGAGGGTGGAAGGGGGGGTTGGGGGAGGGAGGGTGGAAGGAGGGGTTGGGGGAGGGAGGGTGGAAGGAGGGGTGATAGAGGGAGGGTGGGAGGAGGGGTGAGGGAGGGAGGGTGGGAGGAGAGGGGTGAAGGATGAGGGTGGGAGGAGGGTGTTAAGGTGGAGGATGAAGGGTGAGAAGAGGGGAGGATGGAGAGAAGGGGGGAGAGGGTGTGTCTGGGAGGAGAGTCGATGGAATGCCTTGTTCTATTCTTGTTTGTCTGCATTTGTATCTTCTTGAAAGTTTGTTTTGTGTGGTGTCTCTGTCTCTACCACCGCATCTGCCTCTATCTGTTTACCTGCCTGTCAGTCTGCCTGTCTCTTTTTCTCTCTGTCTGTCTGTCTGTCTGTCCATCTTTATCTCTGCCTCTCTCTCTGTCTGTCTCTTTTTCTCTCTGTCTGTCTGTCTGTCTGTCCATCTTTATTTCTGCCTCTCTCTCTGTCTGTCTCTGTCTGTCTGTCTGTCTCTCTCTCTCTCTCTCTCTCTCTCTCTCTCTCTCTCTCTCTCTCTCTCTCTCTCTCTCTCTCTCTCTCTCTCTCTCTCTCTCTCTCTCTCTCTTTCTATCTGTCTGTCTGTCTGTCTGTCTGTCTCTCTCTCTCTCTCTCTCTCTCTCTCTCTCTCTCTCTCTCTCTCTCTCTCTCTCTCTCTCTCTCTCTCTCTCTCTCTCTCTCTCTCTCTGTCTCCCTGTCTCCCTCTCTCTCTGTCTGTCTGTCTCTCTCTCTCTCTCTCTCTCTCTCTCTCTCTCTCTCTCTCTCTCTCTCTCTCTCTCTCTCTCTCTCTCTCTCTCTCTCTCTCTCTCTCTCTCTCTCTCTCTCTCTCTCTCTCTCTCTCTCTCTCTCTCTCTCTCTCTCTCTCTCTCTCTCTCTCTCTCTCTCGCTCTCTCTCTCTAACTCTCTCTCTCTCTCTCTTTTATATATATATATATATATATATATATATATATATATATATATATATATATATATATATATATATATATATTTATCTATCTATCTATCTATCTATCTATTTATATATATATATATTGTGTGTGTGTGTGTGTGTGTGTGTGTGTGTGTGTGTGTGTGTGTGTGTGTGTGTGTGTGTGTGTGTGTGTGTGTGTGTGTGTGTGTGTGTGCGTGCCTGTGTTCTTTAGTTTACATCTGTATGCGTTTGATGTTTAACAATTTGTTTACGTTCATTATTTTACAAACAAGAACCACGTGCTCTTTAATTTGGAGACTGATATATCATTTCACTTGATCTGTGTTAAAGGGCTGAAAAAAAGATATAGATAAAGTAATAGGAAGAGGGAAAAGGTGACGATACACTGAGGAAACCTGATATTACGAGAAAGGTCAGATAAACAGAAATAAGGAAAAAAAAGACAACGTCAAGAAGAAAAAATGATAGTAGGATTAATACAACACAAGAAAAAATGGAATAACATGTAGATAAAAGAAAATAGAAGCAAAACAAAAGCGCAAATTTCAGAATAAGAGAAAGATGACGTCATGCTTCTCAACCCATAGAATCGCGGCTAAAATGTCTTTGTTGTTACGTTGAAACAAAAGCGTATTCAAATATTTGTTCCCATGTTGATGATATATATCTTTCTGACCAAATCTGTCTTCCCGAATGAATGAATGAGAGAGAGAAGAATGGATAAAAAGAAACAGATAGGGGGCAGGGAAAGCGATATAGAGGAAGAGAGAGAGAGAGAGAGAGAGAGAGAGAGAGAGAGAGAGAGAGAGAGAGAGAGAGAGAGAGAGAGAGAGAGAGAGAGAGAGAGAGAGAGAGCGCAAGAGCGTGAGCGTGAGCGAGAGAGCGAAGGAGTGAAAGAGAGAGAGAGAGAGAGAGAGAGAGAGAGAGAGAGAGAGAGAGAGAGAGAGAGAGAGAGAGAGAGAGAGAGAGAGAGAGAGAGAGAGAGAGAGCGAAAATGAGAGAGAGAGCGAGAGAGCGAAAATGAGAGAGAGAGAGAACGAAGAAGAAAGAGAGAGAGAAAAAAAAACGAAGGAGAAAGAGAGAGAGAGAGATTTACCTCTTTCCCCGAGCCAATCGAATTCCGCCTGCAAGAATTATAAATAGACCCAGCGTCGTGAGTCGGGGACCTGGGTGTACACAGCGACGGGCGTGGGCGGTGCTGTTGCCTCAAGTGACGGCACGAGGATCTGTGTCGTGGGCGGCCGACAGAAGAATGCAGGGCTGAGTTAGGGATGGTGGGCGTGGGAAGGAAGAGTTCCGTGGGTGGAATAAAGGTGTAGGTACAACTTGTGGGTTTTGGTGTAACGTACAGGTGGAAGAGAGGAGATGAGAGATGAAAGAAGACGAATAAAAAGAAGTAGAATGAGGGGGAGGAAGAAGGGAGGAGGGGGAGAAGGAGGAAGAGGAGGAGGAGGAAGAGAGGAGAGGGAGAAAGAGGAAGAAGAGGAGGAGGAAATGGAAAAGGGGGAGGAAGAGGAGGAAATGGAAAAGGGGGAGGAAGAGGAGGAGGAGGAGAAGAAGAAGTAGAAGCAGAAAAAAAAGACGGAGATAAAGAAGGATGAGGTTGAGGAGGACGAGGAGGAGAAGGAGAAGGGGGTGGAGAGGGAGGATGAAGAGTAGTAGTAGTAGGAGGAGAAGAAGATGAAAAAGGTGTTGATGAGAATGACAAATTAGAGAAGATGATGAAAAAGAAGAAGAAAAAAAGAAATAAGAGGATAATAATAATAATAATG